AACAAGTGACATCGTGGAGAAAGTTCTAGGTGAAAGCTCTAAATTGCTCACTTTATCTTTCAACCATGGCATCAACCAACAGCTTCAATTGTAGTTGCAATGTTTGGTTACAAATGTCATCAACTATGACATTTTGATTGCTAAAGAGGCATTGTTCCCACCTGGCTTTATCATCGACAATTGGCACAAGCATGTTTTACTATCGGGTTGACTAGAAGACGGATGACTTGAATCTAGATTACATACCTCTGGATTTACATGCAAATCATGCTCCACCTGCGCATCATTGATTATAAAAAAAAGTCAATACTCTTTTTTACATTCCTAGCCAACTACATGAATGGATGAAAGACTATGAGGAGGAGATTGTCGTTTTCTAAGCAGATGCAAGCTTGGTGGCTGGTCCCTTGGAGGTTGTGCATGGACAAGAGGTTTTACATAGGCTCAAAGCAGTCCACAAGCCCTTGGTTTCAGCCATGCACAAACTTAAACATCTTAAAAACCACAAGGAGCCAATTCAATCATTATTGATCAAGACTGTGACTTAGACTCTATCCAAGGATGAAGTCAACCTCTTGGAGTTGTTTGGTGATATTTCTACAAGTTTGGAGGCACTCAAGCATAGTGATAAGACGCTACATTTACGTGAATGTTGATCTTTGTGCACGTAAGGTTGCATCATCATGCATGTGGGAGATTAGCACTAGGTTTCTACAGCGGTTTCCAGCCTTTGCATGGAAGTCAAACTTCACCTTTTTTCCCTTTGATTTTGAGCTCATACAACAACAGCACCTTGGTCTCCTTGATACCCTAGACTTGATCATTGCAGGTTGGAAGTGCCAAGGTTTTCCTGTAGCTAGTTTTAAAGCTAGGTTGGCTGATTGAAGGTTTGGACTATCAAAGGTTTGGTCTTTTCATGGATCTGATTTGAATTATTACTTGGGCCCAATCGCTTTTTCCAACAGTTGATTATGTCATTGAAAATATTCCAGCTCAATATGACTAGAGAAAAAAGGTCCAAGAAGTTAGCATTGTGATTCAACATTATTTTGATAAGCAGTTGTTATAGGATGCCGTGTAGTGCAATTCTTATGCACACCGGCTGCAAAATCTTTGAACCAACTTGACGCCCATTTTTCTCTTGGAATTGGCTATGAAAAACACAACCAGAGCTCCTACACTTAAGGTCTCTCAAATCTTGGATGCAGATGGCTCATGCCAACCAATTACCAAGCAAGAAAAGCACATTGGTTTCAAGTCAACATCATTAGACAGCCAAGAGATGCTTGATCCACATTCAAGTGTCCATGCTTTTCAGGTTGATGAACTATGAATTGTGTATTGTCACACTATAAGTACATGGGATGAACCAAGTCCTGAAGAGAAGAAAAGGGCATGGAATTTCATACAAGCACCACTGACCACACAAAGGTGACCAAGTTGGAGTGCAATTCACTCTTGGAAAAAGTGATGCATCTGAACGTACTCACTTGATTATTGGTCACTTGCATTCTTTTTCAAATGTACCTTGCATCTAGCGTGGATGTAAGTAAGGTAAAAACACACGATGCTTCTCAATGGCATCCTAATTGGGTAAATTTATCAATATCCAACACTTTACACTTCACGATACTTAATGCTTTAATTTGCTATTCCTTTACGTACTCATTCATTTGAGTTTGATACTAGCTTGTACTTCTTCCTTTTAAACACTATACACAGAAATTAATGTAGGTTCAGATTTTTGCACTAGTTACATTGTTGTTGTTAGAATTTAGCTTGGATTGACCTACGGTCAACAAGGCTGCCTAAGAGTTGCTTTGCTAGAGTTCTGATCTTCACACGATATGACAGTCTTATGTTACAACACTATATGTCACAATAGTTTTAAGAAGCATTATGATACTTTGCAAGTTTTGTATGAGAAGCACAAGTAGAAACTACAAGAAATTTTGTAACTTTTTAATACTTTTTTACTCTATCATGTTTTGGCCACAACTTGGTTTCAGCTAATTCTAGTTAAAAATTTATTAATGTTTGATATTTATCTAGAATTTTTTACAAATCAATTTTATTGGTTATGGAAGTTAGTAATTCTATGACATGCATGAAGGAGAAGATTTCTTGTTTAACTCATGTCTATTTCGACTTAAGTTAGTGCAATTTTGGTTCTAATTTAGGTTCTGCTCTCACTTTAAAAAAGAGCTAGCAAAAACTTTTAATTATCTTTTTAGGTTTTCATGAAGAAATTCTTTCTTTGTATCCCTAAACGTAGACGTACTTTAGTGTCAGCGTTCTAATGCACACATCAGAACTTGCTTGTGTTCTTGTTGTTTTCTCATGAAAAAACATAACAACATCGTGAAACATTGCAAGTTTTGCATATGAGTATGAGCAGATTGGTATAAAAATTATATTATCTCTATATATGATTGATACTATATCAAGCTAAGATCTAGTTCTAATCAACTCCAATGTACACATGGAGCTATGTTTATTTCTTAAAATTTAAAATTTCTTCTAGAACTATACACATAAATAATCATATAGATTATAAAGGTTATAAAGCCCAAGACAAAGTCCTTAAGAGAGATGACTAGGAGTCAATGGAGGTTTTGATTACCTTTTGTAATTTTGAATGTAGTAAGATAGACTAGTTAACTAGCGCTAGTTACATGTGTCAACCGGCTTTCAAGTATGCTTCATGCATCAAAGATTAAAACTGGCTTTGAGATGGAGTCAACTTAAGTAGTTGGAATCCATGAGATCATCAATCATAAGCCTTGTACTACTCCAAGGGTTGTAAAGAGTTCTGACTCCACTATCATATGCTATGTAGGTTAGAAGGCAGTTCCTTGATACATGCTTACCTAAACATGATCCTTAGACCTACATGCCAAGTGAATTGATTCTTTATGTTTCCTTGAGTTCTTTTACTCCCCTTCTTTGTAGTCAGCTCTTGACTACACTTGCCATTCTTGATATCATGGTACAGTAGATAACATTGTCTCCTTGCAACTTAAGGAACTTCACGTTGCATCTTATCTGAAGTCTCAACTTGGCGATCAGAAAGTTCAACACTACCAAGTTTGGATTAAGTTGAATATCATTTTGTGCGTTGACATTCCCCCTTTTGATGGTACTTTACTTTACTAAGAATATTCCCCCGAAAATCTTCCCACTTCATGTATCTTACTTTTATGTTTTATGTTGTCTTAATTCTTGTATCGGATGTGTAATGATGTAACACTGCTCCACAGCTCAGCTTTATTCCAAAAAAATTTAATTGATTGCTATTTCCTTATGTTATCCTCAACTTTAGCCTAGATATTGGCAGCAAATTCTTGAGTTGACTCCCTTTAAAGAGATGACAACAAGTATGTGATTGATGATATGCTGGTCTTGGTTGCATCTTTCTTACTAAAAGACATGTTTTATTCTTTGCTTTAAATGAAGTCATTGACATTAAATGATAGAAATTTTTTACTTCAGTATATGCTCAAAGCGCATTATGCGTCTCATCTGGTCAATGTGGTCTACGTCTATATAAATTTTCTCTTTGATAATGTGATAGATTATATGTCTTGAGATGTGAACTGCTCATTGTTTTCTTTGCGGTGTCAATGGTTGGTGTTGTTTCTTTGTTCTATGTGTTAACATTATAACCACTTCAACACTTATCTTCTAAAAAAATCTGAATAAATTGGCATTCTAGAGATTAATAAGAGAAATTTTTAAGAAATTAGTAGCTATATATTCTTATGTTGCATTAAATTCACGCTTAAGTAATTTTCTGGTAATATATAGTTGTTTGTTAAATTTATGCAAATACTTTCAAACAAAGAAAGTATTGTAGACTATTGTTTAGACAAAGTATGATGTTGAATGATCAATGACATTTTGCATGTTGTTAAAAAATAAGATTTTTCTTGGAGAAATTTTTTTCACTCTTGTCATATTTAAGCAGTATGCATTTAACTTACTATTAGAAGTAATTCAAAGAATAAGAAATTTAAGTTGTAGCCTGCTTTTTGAAATAAGTTCCTACAAGTTCCTAATTTATCAAAGTTGTCTAGAGAACCATGTACAAGTCTCAAAAAATTTATTAATTTTCCAAAATTATTCCTTAACTACGGTAAAAGAACAGACATGCGAAGTAAATTAGCACCCATAATTACAAATTTAGATATATTTCTACAACTGTAAAAGCTTCAAGAATATTACTAGTCGGTACATGTTCCCCTACTACGAGACAAGTAAATAAATTTTAAAGCTATGTATGATATAGTCCTGTCAGATGTTTTCCTTATTTTGTCTTACAGCCGGGGTTTTCAGTTTTCCTTGTTTGTCTGACAGTCCATGGCCCGTCACACAAACAAAGTCCCCTGCCCTCCGGGCCCCTCCCTCTGGTCTTCATACCCTTTGGGCCAGTAGGTAGTATTTCTAGATTTAGAAAACAAGTGGAAGATTCAGTTGAAAGTTTGTTCAGATGTGTCAACTGTATTCAGACTGATGCAGTTCACGATTCGGCAGGTTGGTAACGTTGTTGTGCATAGAATGTGTAGACACAACTTCGGCCATTTTTCGGTATTTGGTTTGATTGTAAACTTACTGTGTATCTCTTACTTTCTTGCTCGAATGACAACGCAACGACACTTCTAGAGTCATACATAGATATTTATCAGTCTACCAATTAGGTGGATATGACTTTGGCGGAACTGCAAGCTAAATTGTCTTCAGTCAAATTTGTATTTCACACAGTTACAACAGTCGCTGTGTGCTGACGTTTACATCGTACTTTGCAATTAGCCATCTTTTAACCTTATGTCTTTTTCTTTTTTAGTTACTACTATTCAAGCTAGAAATTTATGATATTTTTGTTTTGTGTTTATACTACATTTAATCAGAAGTCCGCGTTTTCAAAGAATTACTTAAAGGAATAAAACACTGGGCATGTGATATACACTCTACATTGACATAACCGTGAACAATTTGCATCCGCTGTTTCTTTCCCTTCTCAATATAATGTCCTCACCTTCGACAAGAATGGGGTACTCAACCGCTAATCGACTTCGGATTGTCACTGTATAAATGTTAAGACTAACATCTACTGAAATATGGTAGCATTCTACGCCCCCACCAAATGAACGAATCACATACTTCTCACCAGTAAAGTTCTCAAGTTTCCGTAAAATTGCTTAAAAAAATAAGTTACAGGAATAATAGGCAACGGCACCTATTTAACTCTCAACGTCGCCTACCAAATCCAACACCGTGGCCTAAATAGGACTTGAACCTGATCATGCGTTTAATCAACTGATATTCATACGCCTCTACTAGTAACTGTACACTTAATCCTCCTCAGCTGGAGGGATGTCATCCAGGTCGAGCTCATTCAAGCCAAGCGCATCCACGGCTGGGGCTGCTAGATCTCTGAGGCCAAAACCACCCTGCTACACGGGAACAGAAATCGTCAGAAGAAATCATGCTATGGTACGTCGTATTACTGAACCAAAATCTCGTTTTCTAGTTTTCATAAAACAAAGACGACAGCTCAAACTAGCGGCCTTCAGTGTTACAGACAAGGCACGGCCAATCCTGAAAAACAAGAAGGTGCAGATCAGTTTACCTCCTTCTGCAATCGCAATTCTTCGGCCCGGGCTGCCGCCTCGGCTTGAGCTACTCTTTGGCGAAATGTCTTAGCCATTTCATCAGCCTGCAAATCGCCTCAGAATTAGTCACAGAAAATATAAACATAACAACGCTGTCTCTAATTGCTAACAATAATCCACCAATCTCGTGTGGTATATTTCAGACACAAGTCACCAAAAGCAACTCCGATACTCGGCTTAAGAGATAACAGCAAATTTGCACACCCTTTATGTGATAGAAAACATCTAACCTTTTCATAAACGAGCGCTGGGTTTCTCAGCATGTCACCAGGTGTTGGCTCCAACTTCTTGGTAGATAGACTTATTCTTCCCCTGTCTCGGTCCTGACTCAATATCATTACCTGCAGGAGGAAAATGTTGTTCCACCTTATTTAAAGAGGAGCTTGTTACCTTCTACATGATCTTGGACAAAAGGTCAAATATTTACTCAACAATTCAGCGCAGAGACACTGACCTTCAACTTATCACCAGGTTGAAGAACATTTTCAACGGTGGTGATACGGTCGTGACTAATCTGACTGATGTGCAACAATCCACTGGTTCCGCCTATATCCACAAAAGCCCCATAGGGCTTCACAGATTGAACTGTCCCGACAACAACAGAACCAATTCCGACACCCAACTGAGTTGCAGCCAAAGCCTTCCGGTTACTCAAGACGAGCCTTGTTCTTTCCTCATCTACCTCGATGAACTTGAGAGGTAGCTCTTTATCTACCATATCTTCCTGATTCATTCCCTGCGAAATTCCACACAAACTTTGAGAGTGAATAGTACTCAGTCTTAGCGCTCGCAGTGATATAATAAAGAAGCTAGTCGCCCTTTACCACTCTTTACGTATGAGCCAAAATCCAAGAGAAGTTTAAGCTCATAGATGCCGACAGAAGCATTCATCTCAACTTACAGGTGCCGACAGTAGCAAACTTTCGGATTTACAAAATTGAGAAAGATCGCCAGAGCAATGTCAACGTATCTGACTGATTCGAGATTCACGAAGAGACTTTACGGTGAAAGATTAAGAATTTACGGAATAGATTTGAGAGAATGGCACAAATCCTCTGAGACCCTCCACTCGGACTACGAGCCCACCCCGATTGGCAGAGAGAACCTGCAAAATTCAAGTAAAGCCTACTTCTTCAGAGAGAAATTCAACAATATTACAGTACTTTGCTTCTGAGTGAAAGGCGCTAAAGATGTCACACAAAGAAGCGTCGACGCTCATATGCAGGTAAACTTATTGGAGAGCCTAGAGATAGAAGTCTTTGGAGGCAAATTAAGTATTCCGAAATCAACACGACTTTCGTACACTGAACGAACATGTCCGCGAATGATAGCTAAGTACAGAATGACACTTCCAGGAAAAAACGTTCGACATACGTGATTTTCCCTCGAGTTAGTGACCAGTAACCACTTACTTTGCCCCTCACGGGACAGTCATCTGCTTGTAGTTGTCTGCAGCGCTCCCAGGATATATCATACTGCAACTTTCGTAGACTCACAATAACGCGACCATTGTCATCGTCTTCTTGGACAATCATGAACTCTTCCTCAGTACCTGGATGGAGACCAACTTCTTCAACATTCTTCACCTTGTGGATACAGGACTCCGAGAGGGGCAGATATGCTGATGCCTTCGCGCCAATATCGATGAGTGCGCCATTGAAATCAGTTTTGAACACGACACCTCTCACCTGCAAATGTGGTTCTCACTTCGCTTAAATAAAATGTTGTACACAACAACCAGATCAACGTTCCAATGGAAAATGTCTCATGAAGTCTCTTTCTCCACTCGATTTAAAACACCTAACCGTGTCTACTGCGTTTCAGTTCATACACCTCGACATATCCCATTCTCCTGCTCACAGAGAGAAGACGTCCAGCGATAGACTCGAGCTACGTTGATGCGTAGTTCGGACCGGATTCCAGCTTAGAGAGTGTTCATGGAGAGGACATGCCTAGCTCATAGTAAAAGAAAGCAACATAAAGAAAATCATGTCCCTACCAGGTCACCAATCTCAAAACTAAAATCGTATTTGGAAAGAGCATCTGCAAATTCCTCGTAAGTGAAAGGAACACCCTCTAGAGGACTATCCAAAGCTCGCTGCCAACGCTCCTCTGCCTCAGCTAGCAAATCCTTCGCCCTCGGAGCACTGAGAGAAGCTACACACTGCAACCTCGAGAAACCACGCTTGATGCCTCCGTTCACTGCCAGGTTCGTACCCGAAAACCTGCTGTTTCTGAAACCCAAAGCAGACGTACACGCTGTGTCGGACAAGCCATTGGCGCAGGTTGAGATCCCTGATGCACTTACAATCCCTGGGAGGCAATTTGATACCATACCCGTCATAGTGGCGACGGACCCGAAGAAACCCTCAAACCAGACTCAAATTCGGCAACAACTTCTATTGCTCAAATGTTCACCCGTTCCGACGCGCTTGACGATGTCGTGAAGATGTGAAGCACCAGCAGTGTAGTAACACGATACAATGAACTCACACTGACTTGTAGAAATTGGGGAGGGAGAGACGTTGAAGAGAGATATTCCTGTCCGTATTGCCACTGGGTAATCCTACCGCAATTTCGTCACAGGCCATGTCCAACAAATGACCAAGCCATGGATATCAGAGGAGGTACATCTAGGTTTGCATTGCCCTATCTATGCGGGTTGTCTGTGGATTGACACGTGGCATATAAGACCTGACGCCCCACGTGGATTACTGGATGACGTCATGTGAAGTTTCATACCAACCTTGGGACCATACACGCTGGATAAGGTCCTCGCAATGTCTGCAGTATGTTTCTGAAATTCCTTTCCTTTCTGATAAATACTTTTCAGTTATAAACTTGGCTCCCTTGTTCTGATGATCGGACAAGCCATTGTTTCCATGAAATGATCATTTCATACAAAGGCTTCAAACAATTTATTTGTATTCCAGTAAGACTGCACGTCATTTATTTGTCCAGCGCAATACGATATACATCGTTGTGAGAACTGTCAAGAATATTTTTCAATCACATTTTTTAACAATAATTCTATATGATGAGATCTCTATTTTCTCATAATTTTTCATATCTGAAGTTTCTATTTTTATTCACTTATAGAAGTTGTGATATCATGTAACTTTTTTTATTCAATAGTTAGTAAAAGTCTGAAATATGTCAATTGTTAAATAAAAGGGCAATACCTGAAGTTGATGAAGCTATACCTGAAGTTCAGCAAATTTGGCACATGCAACGTTTAGAGAGGTGTGGTGTACGTACTATCTTAGGATGTGATGGAAGGCATGATACGAGGGTTTCCTAATTAGGAAAAAACAGAAGCTGAAAGATTGAAAAAAATCATCATTCTAGATAAAAACCAACCTTTAATCACCAAAACTTTGACAAGCCGGCTTCAACTTCTCTTGTCCAAGATTGTTTCTCAACAACAAACCGGATTCATCAAGACTCACAACATGTTCGATTTCATCATTACAATAAATCTTACATCTTACAAAGGAGCATAATCTACCAAAAGTTCAAAATAAGAAATGTACCTTCATGAGTTAAGACTTTGTTTGAAAAGCTAGTGGATTAAACGTGCATACTTTTGATACAATTGAAGTACATTAACAAACATGTTACGGTAGATCAACTTATTTGAGATATTATGATATAAACATTTTGAGAATTATGTTATTTTGATTCTTTTACAAGTATGTGATAGATTTTAAAAGCATTTCAGATAGTTCTTGTCTCAAGAGCCAAGAAAATATGAAATTTAAATGTCCGATTGACATCAAATAGCAACAAACAAACAAAACTGCAAATAAAATGCATTTAAAGTTTATTTTGTCATATTATTTTACATTTTGTTTATATGTAGACTGACACTTTAATTTAAATTAAGTTCAATAAACTTAGATAACAAAAATATCACACAAAAGCCTAATTGTAGAATTTTGCGTAATTGTGTCATAAAAATTGAGAAACCTTCAACACCCAAGTTGCTATTGAAGATCAAATTTTAAGCTAAATTTGTTTTAAGAGCAAAGCAAACAAAAATTGAAAAATTTTTCATTTGTAATCACAACAAACTTACATAATTTAAACTTGTTTCAACAGATGCTATTCATAAAAGAGTAGATTTTTTTCAATTCAAATCTCGAGTTTATCTCAAGTTTACCTAACTCAAATTAGGACTATGATTAGTTTCTCTAATTAGGATTGATCATAGGATTTGAGCTGCCAAGTATATATGGAAGTGCAAGACACATCTTGCCTCAAGCAATAGTGTGTTCTTTGAGTAAAGTATTTGTTGTTCAATTGGATGTAGGCCGACGGTGGATGAATCAGGTAATATTTTGTCGCTGATTCTCATGATTATTTTGTTAATTGATATCATAGAGATGTCTTTCCAAAAAGAGAATCTTTCTGTTATGTACGCTACATTGTTCATTGATTGATTGTTCATGAACTGATTGATCGCTGAGAACACGACAAGCGAACAAGACATCTAGTTTGCTCCTTGTGATCTTAGAGCTGATCAATTTAATTCGTAAGTGAAGCCGATGCGGATGTTGAAAATTAGAAGAGATTTCCAAAAGATTGAAGCATGGACGAAACGTTCGACTGAAAAAACTAAAAGCTCGTCGAAGCGAAAAAATCAGAGGAAAACGACGTCTAGGATTTGGCGTCCTTCCATTTGTTCATTCTTCAATCGAGAGTGTATTTATAGTTGTTGTGAAAGATTGCAATATTGCGGATGGGCATTAGCAAAAAATGAGCCTTTGGAGGTTTGTGGGATAGTTGGATAGTGCGAACTTGGTAATTGCCATGACGTGATCCCAAATGGCGATCGTAAAAGAAGTACACTCTGTTGTGCAATTTAAATGAAGAGGTCACGGTGTTTTACTTCAGTATCAATCCGGGTGGGAAATCTTGAAGTGTTCCAAAATATTGTGACGAGTATGAAATGGCTGATGTTCAGCCATTATCCTAGCATAGGAGACATACGTTGGTATTCTAAAAACATATACGGAGGAGGACATCCTCTTATTTCAAAAGCAATTCAACTCTGATCCACTGCTTCGACTACGAGCACAACATGATTATTGTTGTGGATCAATTAGATTTCAGCCGCACCATGTCTCCGTAAAGATAAAGTTCACTCCCATCACAGTGACTGTGGTCGAAGACTGGTCAAATCATCGGGGCCATCTATTGAAAATGATCATATCACCGTGGCGCTGTACCACTGGAGTGCAACCTTTATGTTAGAACTGACCTTCGGAGTGGACAAGTTGTTCATAGGTTTTGGTCAAAGGCAGGCTCTAAACGGGGAAGCGGAGGAATCAGGGATGAAGCAAGGACATGAGTCTGAGTTTTCGTCGAAGTGGGCCAACTGGAAATTGGAGGTGATTCGTTGAACGCCAGCGAGAATGAGCAATGAAATTGTACTTGTATAGCAGAGTTGAGTGACGTCCCCGGTCCACAAGAGGGATTGCATACATAAAGTACTGCAATTGATCTCTCTAGTGCCATTCTACAGAGAGATCACACCCACTGATTTGCTGATAATAGTCAAACCTCAGAACAGAGAGATGGAGAAATTCTAGCAATTTAACAATAGCTCCCCATCCTCTGGAGAAGTCCGCGCCCTGGATGGAACAACCTTTTTCCATGGATGGTTTCGAGGCAGCATAGTGATCCCTTTATGAGATAGGGAGGACTCTCTTGCAGAGTTATGAAGATAGTAATCATCCAGGTTTTCACCGGGATTCTAATCAGCTTTATGAATGAGGCTGTCCTGGAATAGTGAAAAGGTTACTTCCAGGTGTTCCAATTACTTTTCGATTTGAGACATATTGAAGACGTTCGCATCTGGGTGAGGAGACTCTACAAACGCAAATAATATTGCATCCATAGTACGTTCTGCAGCCGTTCTCCCGATATCGAATGAAAAATCAGAGTTGATCATCACATTCACGGCCTGAATGTTGGTTCCCTTAGTAAAAAGACATGAGAGACCAAGGTACTGCATGCTCCATTTTTAAAATCGTGGAACACTCTATTTCCGTGAGACTGGAGCATCTTTGCATGGACATAGAAACATGAATATCTGAGTCCAGTAATTGTCTTTGCTAGAAGCTAAACTCGGTTAATAGAATTGCTGAAAATGATGGACTGGTCGATTTGTAGGTTCAAAGATAGAGTGCTCAGAGTGATAGTGTTTGAATTGAGAAAGGAATAGCAATGAAGCAAGTAGATATGAAGCCTACAATGTAAAGGAAGCTGGATCTAGCTTCTTGGATCAAGTTGGAGCGGAAGCAAACAGGGAAAAGGAAAGTGTATAGAAGTTTGCTGATGATTCTTTTCAAGGTAGTGAATATTTTCAGATTTCACCTAGCAGATGCTGGGTGAAATAATAGTGGGCAATATTGGTGTTATGTAAAATTCGTTGCCACGAAATTGATGGTTTGCGCAGCTTATGATGGATTCTTTCAACCCGTATAAGAATAATTTTTTTTCTTGAAAAGAAAAAACAAGAAGAGAAGAAAGTGGAAACAAAGATTAGAGATTTAGGGTTTAGAGAAGTTATTTTGAAGGTGCAGAGAGTTTGGATCCGGTCTCATCCACTATTGTTCTCAGGTTCTGATTTTTTTTTATAAATATATGGTGGTTTAAAATATATATAGATTTTTAGTGATTAGTGTGCTCATTGAATGTAGTGGAAACATAACTTCTATCCTGATTCCTTTTCACATTGTGAACACTAGGTTATATAGACTATTTTTATATTTCTTGCTCCAATTTGACAGTGTAAAGTGGTTGTCTAATGGTTGTGATGGCAGGTTAGGTTGTACATACCCCATAGCTAGTAGTGCTAGAATAGTTTAGTGTGGACACAAAATCACCAAGATTTGATTACTTTATGGGGATTTGGCAGTGGTGCTGGTTGAAAATTTGGTCATCACGGAGTTGTTTGGTGGTACTATTGAGTACCGTGGTGGATTCACAAGGAGTCGATTGATGTATCAACTACCTTTATTTATCCATCAGTGGGTGCGGAGTACCAAGGTGTTGCAAACACCAAGTCTTCTGTGTTGATATTGTCTAGTGTTTGTGGTAGTGAAATTTTTTCATTTTTTCGGAAATAAGGTAGTTAGGAAGGAAAATCCACGTAAGTTTTAACTTTGGAGATAGTAGTAGTTAGAAGAGAAGAGAAGAAGAGAAGAACTTTTAGTATAGATGCTAAGTAGAAGTAGGTAATACGAAGCATCGCCCTAGGCAAAGCTTGGCCTGTTGGTGCCGATGAGGTTCAAAGTCGAAGGAACGGACCAATGGGACTTAAGCTACGAAAGGAAGGGGCGACGACCCAGGTTCTCAGATGACCTAGATCAACCTTTGAAAGAGGGTATTCGGTATTCGTCGTTGATGACTTCGGAGTTACGTGCGAAGTCCTTCTGGCAAAGATACCCAGTGAAGTAAAAGATGGCGCTGCACAAGAAAGAAATTTGTATTGACGAGTGGCAGCACCTTCAATTTGCAGAAGTTGATTCTACCATTGCAACGGCGGGTTACACCCGCAAGGACGCGAGTTCGGCTCCCACATTTCACGATTACACTACTGCGAATTGATGAGAGATTGCAGTGCGAAA